GTCCACTTTTTCTCTATCTTCTATCAATGTCTAGTTTTAAGGGTTTTAAATTTACCATTCTCTTCCTACAACGCCTAGCTTTTGATTAGGTTAGGGTTTCTTTTTATTAAATGTTATTTTTTAAATCTTAATTAAAACTCTAATTAGTTTCTCCCTGATTAATTTCTCCAAATTGAAATTCAGATTGAAGAACCCTAATTAAACTTCATATTTGGCAATTTCTCTCTCAAAGCTCACTCCTCTTTCCCAAGTTTTGGTCTTTCTCTTTCGCAGGCAAACCCAGCTTTGGGTTGTCTTTGTGGAGCTCGAGCAACATGGAAGCTTCCTTCCCTTTCTATTTTCTCGTTTTACTTCGTCTTGTCGTGAGGAAGGCGTTGTACCCCTTTTTCCTATTCTCCCGTATTGGTCCACGTCGCAAGGACTTCTTTCCTCTTCTCATTTGCGGTTCTGGTTGGGGGTTTTGCAGGTAAGGTGCGAACACGTTTCTCGTGGTGCGATGAGTGTTGTAGTGGCGGCGCCTCCGCGAGGTTTCGACCTTAGAAATCTTCGTCATGCAAGAAACCTTGTTAATGGCGTCGTCGTGGAGGGAAATAGTGGATCTGGTGTTTCGCAGTCTGGCTTTCTTTGTTCATCAGCGTCCCCGTGGCCACTAGGGTGGTGCATCGCGTTGGGTAATGATTTATGTTTCTGCTTTGCAGGTGGATGGTAGCGTTTTGGTGGTTCGCAGGTTTTGGGATTTTATTTCTTCTCCCTATATTCAAGGCGTGAATTAGAATTTCTAATATTGTTTTTTGTCTTTGCGATCTGAGAAGGTGAGGTTTTCCTTTTGAATTTGGGTCTGGGGTTTTTGTCCTTCGTGTTGATATGCATTCGGGTTCTTGAGCTCGCACCTTGGTTTTGTTCTGCGTTTGGGTCTGACCGTGGTGGTTTCCACCTTCGAGGCAGATATGGATGAAGGGCACAAGTTCAAACTGGATGACAATGGACCTTGGGTTGTGCGGGTTGAACCTAGTTGGGCGTAGGCCCAAAGTTGAACTTCATGAGGCAGATTTTGCAATATCAGGACACAGAACATTTAGAAAATATATATAAATTAAAATAAAAGGAAACTAATGAAATTTTAAATTAATTTGAAATCAAAATTGTAGAGGTCCAAAATTAATTTCAATAATCTGGGTTAAAGAATCTGAAAAGAGAGAAAACCCTTAAAAGGAGATATTAGTAGAAGAGAGAGAAAAAAAGTTGGACGTTACAGGAAGAACAAAGGAGAGAGAAGAAAAAGATCAGATTTCATAGTCATGTCACCATGGAGTTAACTTCATTTATGCTAATTTAACGGAAGGGACTTGATTGATACCATTTATACCATTAGGACCAAATAGAGGCATTTTTAAAAGCGGGTACTAACGAGCAACAACACTCTGAATGTGGGGACCAAGAAAGCAATTAAGTCTTAAAAATATTTAGATAACTCAACTTTATCTTTCAACCCAAGTTAATTTATCTTGATCTTCAATCTAAGAGGAATCGTCTTGATCATAGACCTGACTCGTCTCAATCTTCGACTAGAATTGGCTTGACCTTCGGCCAATGTAGAATCAACTTGACCTTCAATTGACACCAACTCGTCTTAACATTCGGCTTGCACCGAACCGACTACAACTTCGGCTTGTGTAGATTTGTCTAAACATTCGATCCCTGAGTGTTGGCAAAAGAAGAAGATGATAAAGATCATTATTCAAGAATAAATTTTGATGACGATAAAAATAAGTACAAGAACTTAAAGTTATGACAAAATATATTGGAAGACTTGTTATTTTGTTTATGTATTTGATTAAGCCTTTGTAATAAGTCATATATTATTGAATAAATTGTTTGTAAGATTTAGCTTAAAGAGTCACAAAGCAACATGCACAGAGATCACTCAAGAACGATTTTATTTATCCAAAAAGTTATATCATAATTAATTAGCAATAATGATAATCGATTATTTAATTGAAATCAAGTTTTTCATAAGAGTCTCCATAATAATCAATTATCACAACTGGTAATCAATTATGATAAAGAAAATAATATTTTTAGAAAAGTTTGTGATAATCTATTATCTCTTTAAATAATTTATTATTGACGACACTTGTGATTTAATTCTTCATATTCTTGACCTAATTTCAAATAAGAATTTTATATATTTTTCGAGAGATCAATTTTGAAAAGAAATTTAAATTCAAAGGTTTAAGGTTGTGACTATTAGAGAAACTCTATGTGGTTGTGCAAAAGGGCTTTAAAAAACCTAGTGTAAGTAGAGCGATAACTTTCACCAAGTGGGTTCTTGTATGATTGAGTGTTGTCGTTGTTGCTAGAAGTTGTTCATCCTTTTTGTGACTAAAAGGAAGTGTTTCATTCCTTGTGTGATTCAAGGAAGGTGTATTTCATCAATTGTGTCTTTAATAGAGGTGTTCTCTAAACTTTAAATTTTTTTTCTTCTATGATTGGTTTGGTTTATTTTTTAGTGTTTAAGTTAATCCCTCTTTAGAGAAATTAACAAATGGGAGTAGGGTCTTTTGATTTGAATCAATATAAAATATTTATTCACAAATTTTCTATTCCCTACTCTCTTTATTTTACTGAAGTTATTAAAATAAGAGAAAAGGGTTTAGTTGAACAATAAATTTTAAAGAAAATTCTAAAGTATCAATTTTTGTTAAACAAACTAATTACACCTCCTCCCCCAACCTTTTGGTTTTTGTCCAACGTAAATATTTTGGGTTACGACTCTAACAGTAACTCATTCACCTCAACTTATGACTCAGACCGACTCGTCTTGACCTTCAACCTAGGTTGACTCGGCTCAACCTTCGCATCGGGTCAACTTGACTTGACCTTTGCTTTGGATAAACTCGTCTCGACCTTCAGTCTTGATCGACTTAGCCTGACCTTTGAACTGCACCAACTTGTTATGACCTTCACCCTATGTTGACTCGTCTTGACCTTCGTTCCAAGTTAACCCTAAGTCAGCTCGTCTAGACCTTCATCTTTGTTCGACTCGTCACGACCTTTGGCCCGGGTTGAGTCATCTCGACCTTCGATTCAAGACGAGTTTTCTCGACCTTTGGCTTAGACGACTCGTCTCGTTCGTTTGCTTAGGCCTCCTTGTCTCGACCTTTGGCTCAAGCTAACTCGCCTTGACCTTCAGCTCAATCGACTTAGCTTGACCTACGGTCCTACCGACTTGGCACAACCTTTGGTTCGACTGACATGGCTCGACCTTTGTTCCGACCGACTCGACTCACCTATGATTTGACTAACTTATCTCCACCTTCAACTTGGTTTTAATCGTCTTGACCTTTGGGTCAACTATATTAGCCTTCTACCATGACCTTGGATCGTCCATTGTCTCTAACCAAATCAGTTTAACCTTCGACCTAGGTTGAATTTGTGCGACCTTTAGCATGTGTCCAATTGACTTAACCTTCGATCTGTGCCAATTGGTTAAACCTTAGGTCTACTCCGAATCAGCTTGACCTTGGCTCGACAACTTGTTTTTACCTTTGACTCAAACTTATTTGTCTCGACCTTCAACTCAGACCAATTTGTCTTAAACTTCAACCTAAATCGAATTGATTCAAATTTTAGTCCAGACATACTCTGTTAAGCATTTATTCCAAGTTGATTCAGCTAAACCTTTAATCTAAGCTAACTTGACTCAATCTTTGTGACTGAAGTGAGAGTGAAGTGAAAATGAGTGAAATTTCAAATTTCTTATATCTGAAAGTATTTAAAATTCTTCTATTTTATTTATTTGAAATACCTTCCAAAATTTCTTAAATTTCATTTTTTTTCTAATTTCTTTATTCAAACAAGTCATTTTAGTGTAAAAAAATTTAAATTCTTCAAATAAATGAATTATCCTTCTAAATTATATCATCCAAACACAACATAAGAATAGAGTGAGTATACATGCCGGGTTGGCCCATTTAAGATTGATCCATGAAGCTCGTATTTTAGGCTTTTTTTTGCATAATTTCTAACTTCACCTCTATAATGTTTAAAATAATCATTTTAGTTACCAAGAAATTTTCTGAAACAAAGCTTTTTGAAATTCCCAGAACATAATTTAGGGAGTAAGATTTCTATAATAGACTTTTCAAATAGATTTTTTTATAAAGAATTTTCAAAACAAAACTTTCTAAAATGCATTTGGAACACGTTTTGTAGAACAGAATGACACGAGTGTTTTTTTTTAATGAGTCCCCTCTCTTCTTCCTCTGCAGAGGAGAATAGAGGTGCAGCTTTACCCCTTAGTAGCGGGTGCGGTAAGTAATAATGGTGGTGCACAAAGAAAAAGACCTTAAATAGGTTAAATGAGGTCCAACCCTGAAAGTAAATGAACTCTTTTTTCTATTTCTATATTTGGTTCCTTATTAGTTCTCAATCGCATCAAACTTCATTGAAAAAAAAAGCGTTGTTTGAAAACATTATATAATGTTTTTCTACGAAAATCGTTGTTTGAAAAAATTATATAATTTTTTTCTAAATAAATCGTTGCTTGAAAAAATCATATATTTTTTTTTCTTTTTATATTGTTAAACTAAAATATACTGAAACTAAGACACAAACATGAAAATTGTTTAAAAAGAAAAAATATCACTATTTAAATTGTTTGTCTCAATAGTTAATACTAACAAATAATATAAGTCACAATATTTGTATATAGTGTGTCGTGTGTGTTAAACAGATAATAGGTTAGTCCGTCAATAAAATATTTAAAATTCACATATGGATGGATGGGACTAAAAATTGTTGTATATTTATATTAATATTTGAGAAACAAATACACAATTCGCATGTCCACCAGCCTAAGGCATACTATAAGTAAAAAAAATAAAACACCTAAGAAAAAGAGAGCGGATGTCTAGGTTATTAGATGATTCAAAAAGAAGAGAAAAGCACGTTTTCCTTTTGCAGTTGGGTAAAACAATGACAGAACGCAAACTGATATATACTAATGAAAAGTATTACGTAATTTATTTTATTGTTAAAAGAGTAACATTCCATAAAACATACTGTGAGCTTGAAATCAAGACAGGAAATGCCCTGGGACATGGGTGAGTATTTTAAGTAAAGCTATCTACTTAAAAAAGAGAGTTTATTCAGCAAAACCTGGGTGATGGGTGTGCATCAAGAGAAGGTCTCTACAACTTCTCCATTAATTCATTCATACAGGAACCCCTAACTCGTTGATCTTCACTATCCGTTTGTTCAGCGCAGATCTCTGACGCTTCAAATTTGAAGCCATCGAAGCAACCTGTCACATTTTTTGAGGCAGACAGAAAACAATAAGAAATGAACATTACTGAAATTTGGGGAAACAAAGAATATAGTTGGCTTGCCTCAGCTCGAAGTGCTAGAGCTTCACGACTTGGTATATACCGCAGCTTGTCTAGCAAATCTGAAGCATGATAAATGAAGGTAAATTCCAATGCCAAAATATATTATGACAATCGCCAAAGATGGAGCTCCTGATTTTCTTCTTTTTAAACAAAAAAGAATGAAAAAAGGTATAAAAATTGTTAATTTTGTGTGTAAGAGCATTTTATACACTCTTACTTAAATTCCTTTACCCCATCAACTAATAAAAAATCACCTTAAATATGACTGCAGAAGTTATTATTAAAAGAGTCAATAATTTTAATTACACAGTGATTCATGATTCGATGACATCACCAAAAAAAAACTTTACATTATCACTATATTCTAATTAAATTCAGCATTTTATCTCATGTTACTTGAAAGAAAGAAGAGAGAAAGATAGCATACCAGAAGCACGGGTTTCAACCTTGTATGCTGATTTTGCCAGTTGTTGAAATTGGCTTCCAGCGCCCCTATATATACATTTATTGAAATTAATGAACTTCTGGCATACTTAGCAGTAATAAAATGGCACATCCATTCTTTAACTAATGATACATACTGTAGTTCGGTATGCCCGTATTTCATTTCTTTCTCAGCAAGAGCTGTCCTTTGAAGCAATTTTACACTCTCCTTCTTCAGTAAATCCACTGAGAGGTTCAAGTCCTTTACACTCTTCTCAGTTCTAGCATACCGTGCCTTCATATAAATTCACGTGAAAAGGTGAAAGAAATAACAGAATATGCACTAGAGATATATTACAACTTTTAATGCCGAACTGATAGGAAGTCAGGACACAAACTAAGGCAAGTGCACGTGATGCATCAGAATTTGAAAGGAGTAGTACGTAAGAACATAGATAAGTGATGCATCTTGATTGTTCAACCAAGTAATACCTCCTCACTCTGCAAACGACCAAAAGTGTGACGAAATAGAAACCTTCTTGGTGCTGCAAAACCAAAAAAACAATTCAGTTTGATTGAAACTAATACAAACTCAATCGATACTTGAGATACAGAAAAGAGCATGGAAAAAACTGGTTCCGATCATAAGCAATAGAGTAGTCATAATAATCACATTTCCCACAAAGATACAGAACAAAAACACATACATGTATACCACACTATATTGGTCAGCTACACAAATCAAAAAGTACCAATGGGCTATATCAAAAAACAATTTAAGCAAAGATTTTTTAAATGTTTTCTTCTACAGTTTTCTCAGATCGAACAATAAACCCTTACTGTGTCTTACATCAGTTCCCTTTTACTTGAATTTTTAGTTCATCCTTGAAATTTTCCACTCAGTATTCAAATTTTTTTTTATTTTTTAATATTTGAAAACATTGAAATTATTGTGTCTTCACCTCCAAAATTTGAACAATTAAGAACCTAACGACCATCATTAATTGATTGATATCTGACTTATTCAATCAATATTTTCTAGGCTAAATTACTCTGGCAAAGCCCTGGACATTTTCTAAATTTTAATTAGGTCCCTAAACTCCTTTATTAATTGGATTTTGTTAGTCCTCTTATAAGTAAACATTATAAGAGGAGAAACTAGAAATAAGGCTTTGCGGTAAATAAAACAGTTATTTTAGCAGTTGTTCATAGTTTTTAAACATTTTAGCAGTTTTAATGTTTTATTAAGAGGCAAGCACAGTTACAAGTGACAGCAGAAAATAAGAAAGGGAAGAAGGAAAAAAACGGGGTGACAAGAGAAATCTGGGAAAGGCAGAGACCAAGCTCTTGGAAAATTGGAGTTTGTAGTGTTTATGATGTTGTACTATTTCAGTGTTCTATGTAAATTGTTAATTCAGTACCAGTTTCCCTTGAATCTAAAGTTCAGTTGATATTTCTATACCAGTTGGTTTCTATTAGATTCTTAACTTGATTTTGTTTCTTAATTGAACCATTTCGTCTCCAATTATGAAAAATAAGTCACAAGGCCTATTTAGTTTCTGAATCCAATATCATCACATATGTAGATTTGCACTGAGTATTAACCCCTTCAGGTTTTGAATCCAGTATTTTTCTACCAGGTTCTTCAACCAATATTTACACCTCTGCAACTCCACTCAACCCAGATATTTTTTCACGAATTTCTCTAGACAACTTTATTGCAACATACACATCTGACTTGAACAACTAATTTTTTATAAGAGCAATTAGACGGAAGGACCCAATTAAAAAATAGATTAGTCTTAATTAAACATTGCAAAATAATTGAAGAACATATGTATGTGTGTGTGTAAAATGTCATTGTACAGTTGAAATTTTCAAAGAGGAAAGCTTTCTGGAATATATTATGAATTTAATTTATCCTTCATTAGGCATTTCATCTTCCATATATTTTGTGATTTCTTGATTGTATCAACTAATAACAAGTCACTCATTGAAGTATTCATGTTGTAAATCAGGTGCCTTTTGAGGATCTATGATTCATCAAGATATTATAGATTGGTGGAGAAGCTCATTCTACAATGATCTTCTACTCTAGACTACCTTCTGCCTTCAAGGTCAAGTTCCCTTTATTTTCCATGCAGGCTCGAAGAATGATGTTTTTCACTGAGTTGTGTGTCTTACTCATGACAAATATTCAGCACATGCCAAAAAACAATAATTTCTACTCTAAGCCTCACCATGTCTTTAGTACCACCAGATGCAAGGAAAATAGAAAATAGAAAAAAGCAGCTTCGAAACAGAACTACAGCCAAAGTTGGGAAAATATATCTTAAGGGCTATTTATACCAAATTAATTGTATACTACCAAGACTAAGCCAAACTCTATACGAATCACCATCTTAACCCAACTTTTTAGTCATTAAAAGTTCAACTGTCAAGTGACTACATTAGAAACTACATTATAGACAACAAAAAGTAAAACAAGAAAATAATCTGAATACATAAAGAAAAAGAGCAGTGTTCCTGCATTAGTTTCCCCCAGTTTTGCCACAATATGGTTATTTGTATCAAAATCAGTGTAGCATAGTAAGATTCACGATATGAATTGTACAATATGATAGAATTTAGCTGCTCCACGATACAAATCGTATTTGCTCCTGAATTGTGTTTGAATCGCATGATACAAGTGTGAATCGCTTGAATCACGATTCGAAATGCAATATGGGTCGAGATGGGTTTCTGAACCAGGTCGATTCAACTCACCAATTTGAAACTCTAAATTTTCCCCCTTTTGTATTTTCATGCACGGGTTAAGGTTAGTCTATCTGTTTCTCACGTTGTCATCTCCTTCTCATGTCATCTCCTCTTTCATTATTTCCTTTCATCTGGTGCACGCAAGCCTCCTATTCATTTGTTTGCTGAGTTCGAGCAACTCGTGTTTGCACTATGGTGGTGGTGTGGTAGTCAGCGGTGTTCATGCGGTGGTACGGTGGTGTGGTGGTGCAATGGTTGTCACTAAGTTCGAGCGACTGGTGTTTGCACTGCAGTGTTCGCAGTGGTCTCGTGGTGGTCACACGTGGTGATCGCACGACGGTTGGTGGTGGTCTCATGGTGGTGCGGTGGTGGTTATGTGGTGGTGCGGTGGTGGTCGTGTGGTGGTACAGTGGTGCTCGTGTGATGGTGCAGTATCCTTTGTTCTGTGCAGGGAGGCTTTTGACGTTTCTGCTTCTGTGCTGGTTAAGCATTTGCTTCAGACATGAGTAAATCAAATTCAAAACAAGAGGTTGATATTACTTGGAATTATTGTCAAAGTGTTCCACCAAATAGACTACAAGTAAAATGCAAATTTAGTTCTCATACTTGTTGGGGAAGCATAGCAACGATGAAACAGCATCTTGCTGGAACAAAGAAAGATGTGATTCCCCGTTGTAGTGTCCCAGATGAGGTGAATGAAATATTTATGAGGATGCTGAAAGGTAAAGAAAGAAAAACAAAAACAGAGGATAACAACTTTGATTGTGGAGACGTATCAAGAAAAGTGACAAAAGGAAAGAATGATCTTCAACAAATGACTATCAATGCATCTTATAAGAACAGAGAAGATGTAATTATAGAAGTTTGCGACTGCATTTATGGTAATGCATTGCATTTAATCTTGTAAGGAGTCCTCTTTTTATCCAAATGTTGAAGGCTGTTGGAGAGTATGGCAAAGGTTTGAAGCCTTCTTCTTATCATGAGGTAAGGGTTTCCTATTTGAAAAAAGTTCTGGATAATGTTCAACAATGTCTACAAAAGTATAAGACTGATTGGGAAAGATGGGGATGCACATGGATGTGTGATGGTTGGACGTTGGGAAAGGAAAACCACTCACTAATTTTCTTGATAACAGTCCAAGTGGGACTGTTTTTTTGAAATCTATTGGTACTAGTGATGTGATTAAAGTTGGGAAAAAAATGTTTGAGTTGTTGGACAGCATGGTGGATGAAATTGGAGAGGAGTATGTTGTCCAAGTGGTTACAGATCGAGCTTCTAACCTTGTGGCAGCTGGGAGAATGTTAATGGAAAAGAGAACCAAATTATTTTGGTCCCCTTGTGCAACACACTGTCTTGGTCTAATTCTTGAGGATATTGGGAAGCTTCCAGTATTTTACAATAACATTCCCAATGCAAAGAAAATCACCACTTCCAAATATAGGCACACATGGGTTCTTAATTTGTATAGAAAGTACTCTAATGGAAGGGAATTAGCAAGATAACTGTCACACGTTTTGCTTCTTCTTATCTTACATTAAATTGTATTAAGCAACAAAAGAATCCTCTTAGATCATTGTTTGCTTCAGAGGAATGGGCTACTAGTCCACATGCTACTAAAAGTGAGGGTAAGCAAGTGATGAATCTAGTGTTGAGTGATGACAGATTTTGGAGATCAATCACCTATTGTTTAAAATGTGTTATTCCACTTGTAAAAGTGTTGAGGCTGGTAGATGGTGATGCAAAACCAGCTATGTCATATATTTATGAAGCAATGGATAGAGCCAAAGAGCAAATTGCTGAAAATTTCCAAAAGATAGAGACAAGGTATAAAAAAGTGTGGAAAATTATTGACACTAGGTGGAATTTACAACTACATAGGCCTCTCAATGCAGCAGCCTATTATCTCAATTGTAGGTAAGCCTATTATCTCAATTGTAGGTAAGCTAATTACACCTAAATTTTTCCTACCAGTAGCATTATCTTCTTTGTTCTCATCAACTTATTTTTTATTGTCTTAGATATTAATATGACAAAAATTTCAGTCAGGATCGGGAGGTGTTGAATGGTTTATATGAAACATTTGAAAGAATGGTTTTGGATATAAGCACAAGAGTTACAATTGATCAACAACTTGAAAAGTTCAAGGGAGCTAAGGGGCTTTTTGGAATGGACAAGACAATAGCTACTAGAAATAAGAAACAACCCGGTAATGAAATTACTCTCAATATGATTTATAATTTTTAATTACATTATATTATGAGCCAATACTTCTTTGTTTTGACAGCTCTTTGGTGGGAGAGTTATGGAGGAGAAGGTAAAGAGTTGCAAAAGATGCCCATGAAAATTTTGAGCCTCACGTCCAGTGCAACAGGGTGTGAAAGGAATTGAAGCACATTTGACCAAGTCCATACTAAGAGAAGAAATAGATTGGAACAACAAAGACTAAATGCTCTTGTCTATGTAAAGTACAATCTTTAACTTGAGTTGAGACAAAAGAGTAGAGAAGAGAAGGGGGAATTAGGATCCCATATGTTTGTTGGATATTGAATTAGATGGTGAATGGATCACTGAAAAATAAAATCCTTGTTTGCCTATTGATTCCTCATAGATGGATGTACATGAGTGCTTTGATTTTGAAGAGGGAGCTCCAAGCAAAAAAGGGAAGAGTGTTAATTATTTCTATTCACAACTTGTAGAAGTTAAAACTTGAATGTTCAACAAACTAGAACTAAACTTCATGTGTTTTCTTTTGCTAATGTAGGTCCTAGAAACTTAAATGTCAAGACCAATAAAAAAGGAAAATCCATAGTAGGAGATGAGGAAGAAAATTAAGACATTAATGAAGGGGGAGAACTTTAAGTAGAAGATGAAAATGACTTGAGTGGTGTAGATCTTGGAGAGGATGAGGATGAAATGTGAATGATTATAATAGAATGACTTTTTGAGGTTGTTTAGGATAGAAGCAACAACCGCAAATATGTTTGTATGGCTATAATTATGCAAATAGCAGCAACAACACTTATTTTCTAGATGGCTATAATGCAGAATTTGTTTAGTAGCATATAACCATAGTTAAAGGAATCTCAGCAACCATATTGTTTTTTGAAGGCTGTGTTACTGAAATTGTGAAACTGTCTGATAAATACGCATAGATACAACCACTCTATTTGACTATGAAGTTGTTTTGTTATTAATTATCTCTTTGCATTTATATATCTTATATATTTAAGTATATGTTACATTTTCTTAATGTTTGTATAATGTTTATGAATCGTATGATTCACGATACGATACGATTCACGATTCAAAATTTAAGCTCTCCAATACATGATATGATTCACAATTCAATTACCATGATCAAGATACATAAATATAGAATTAAACCTAAGAAAAACTGAAATGACAAAGTAAAATACGTTACTGGTATGTGAAAATGATAGGAAAAATGTTACCTCGCATAACCAAAAGGGCAGTAGAAATAGCTACTCCTGCAGTTAAAGCTGGATTCTCCTTTGCAATCATCAATCCATCTGCAAACGGCTATGACGTAAGAATATAAACCAGTGCGATATGTAAAAGATCACCACATAACAGAAACAATTTAGATGCTTCATGGTCAACAACTTATTTGAAGATTAATAACATTTAGTGTGTTAGCTCATGTAAGAAAAATAAATTTAAAACAAGATTGATAACATTCATTCCACGAGTAAAATATAAATTCAAAAGATATCAGCATGAAGAGAGGCTCAAGAGTCCTTGACTACCAGGGTAAGAAAAATTATCCTACCAAAAAGTAACAGGAAAAAATTAAATACAATAAAAGCATGAAAATCCCCAAATATAGAAATGGTGCATGATCTTTCTGCAAAAAAGAAACCTTGAAGAAACAATTGTTAATTGAATAGAAGCCATAAACATAAGCTTTGACATAACAAGTGCACGGACAAAGAGCAATCCAAAGAAATGCAAGCATATCCCATAAGTTTTTTAAACAATCGCATATTTTACACACTGACATAAAACTTTAACCTTACTTTTGCCAAAATCTTGATACTAAACCCACAAAAATATCATAAAAGTTGAAAGACATAACCAACACTAAAAAGATCAATTGTATCAATTTTTAAATCACCTTTAACTTTATTGAAGAAAGCATCTTCATATTTCCTATACTGCGATGCTGCTTCTGGTAAAGAATTCTACAAAAGAATAATGCATAACCAGATGAGTTTTATAGCCCTTCATATTTTATCAAGGGATAACAAAATCAAGCTTCATTACTTTAGACAGAGCAGGTTAAATCATAAGATAACATGTCATTAGAGCTCCAAATAAGTTCAGAGTTCCAATTTTCCATATGACTATAAAAAGAATCAGGAAATGAAATTATAACTTTATAAGTCTGATTTAATGTTTGATTGAATAATATAGACATTATAAAAAACAAGTATAATATAGCTGTTACAATTTTAAAATTGAATAGATATAGATAACAGACTAATACTTTATTACAAAGACAGAGATAAGGTAGCAATTGTGTTTCACTCAATGAAAAACAGGACAATAAAAATGATAGTGATGGAGGGCATCATGAGAAACAGGGTTAATGGTGATAGTGGAAAAACATTTGATATTGGAATAGAGAACTCTCCTGCTATCACAATTACGATTCAGAAAAGAATGAATGACAGAGTACTAAAGTCTCCCATATTTGGGTGAGATTGTTTATTCGGTATGACATTTATACATAAAACTAAAAACTCGCACAAATTACATACAAATTCAATCCGCAAAATAATTCATTAAAATTTATTAAAATTTGTATGATTTTGAATATGAGATTATTACTTCTTAATCTTTTTAAGATCTCAATCCAGTATTAGTATCATATAATGGCGTAGTGGCCACAGACAATTCAATCCTATAGTGTAAAATTATTTTACACTGCCAGTCCGCACACTATACTGGAGTCAATCCCTTGCATACCCTCATCCTTTTCTTTTTTTTATTGAAAACAGTGAATGAAGAAGAGAGGAATGGAAACCCTCACTCAATTCGACATCCACCTCCTCACCAGCTAACAAAGAAATTCAGCAAACAAGGAATATTATACATCTACATTGCGAATAACGAAAATAACAAAGCAGATTCCTATGAGATGAGGAGAGGAAGGCAAAACCTGAAAGGCATGGAACTGAGTTGTGGAGCTATGTTGCACAGTCCGAGCAGATTGAATGGCAGAACGCTGAAGATTCTCAGCCATGGTGGCCAGCGATGGAGTAGATGCCGGGGACGTGTCTCCATCCGAAGAGGACGAATCAGCCTTTGCCATTGTCCGATGGGGCGTGGGGTTACAAAACTATGCCTAGTTAACAAGCACACTTTATTTAAATGCATTTTAGTTGTAGTACAACAATAAATATTGTTTTATTTTCTTAGTTGAATTTACAACAAATAACTATTTTTAAATATATAAAAGAAATTTTAATGAATAAATAATTTTTTTAATAAATAAATAATGTTGTAATTTATTATAAATATTTTAATGTGTAATATAAATACCAATATGGTGTTGGTTTGAATGATAGTTGAACTCAAAAACCGTGCAGGATTGACAAAATCAAGAGTACTAACATGCCTATCAAAAAGGTATATATATATATATATATGATAATAGTTATCTTTAACACAACTTTTTTGGTAAGTAATTTGAACATGAGTTGTTGAGGTATACACAATCTTCAAGATAAAATGTAAGCTTTAATTTATATCTTAAGTTTAAGATATTTATTTTGATGACAATAAACAATAATATGTCTTGATGCATTTAATAACTATTTAAGTGTAAAAATATTCATGAAAGATAGTAATATTTATACTAGGATTGGACAAATAAAATTGATTGGACAACTAAAATATGTATCTAATTTGTATAAACTGAACTGTAAAACAGTTCAAACAAACTGAACTAAATTGTTTTTTGTTTTATTAAACTAGACTGAAATATACTAAATTGTACTAAACTACAATATAAACTAAACTGAACTACTAACTATACTACTAACTATACTAATTTTAAATTGAATTGTACTAATTTTAACACTGCCCTAGATTTTATCAAGCACTTTTCTTCAAATTTTTCTTTCTTGAACTACCACAAACACATACAACTCTAATTATAAAAGTTTATTACAAAAAGATTAATTATTTAAATTTGTTAAATGGTAGTGAAATGAAATAACCCGAAAGTAACTTTTTAATTGAAATTGATAAGTATAACAATGCATGTTCTTGAAATTTTTAACCCATGAATCCATTAAGTAAAAAATATTTAAATTTTACTTAAAAAATATTATGATTTTATAAATATTTTTTATTTAACATTTTTTCTCTAAATATTTTTGAAAAATTCATTTATTTTCTAGATGGGAGTTTTTTAGAAAATCTATTATCTACTATAATATAAAAAAAAATACTAAAAATCTATTTTAATATTTATTTTATTTTATTCATAAGTGTCTTACAAATTAATTTTTTAATTATTTGATATTATTATTATTTATTTTATTTATATTTCTTTAATTATTATATGTGTATGGAAATTATTTTATTTTTTATTTATTTATTTTATTTTATTTTATTTTTTATTTTTTATTTATATTTATTTTGTCATGAATATTATTTTACTTTAATATTTATTTTTTTAATTTTTTATTTATATTTTTTTATTTTATACGTGTATATAATTTATTTTATCTTTTTATTTACTTATTTTATTTTAAAATGATTTTTTATTTATATTTATTTTGTTGCCTCATGAAATTGTTTTATTAATCAATTATTTATTATTTATATTTTATTATGTAAAAATTAAACTAATATTTATTAATTATTATAATATAATAAAAGATGATACTAGAAAAGTTACTCTGAATAAATGTTTGTTAATTTTTTTATCATTTGATATTTCTATAATATTAATTACTTTTTTTATATTACTATTTTTTTTATGATATTTCATTATATAGTCATTTAATAAAATTTAAGGTTAAAAAATATATTTTAGTTTTAGTCTCCAAAATATAATCATTTAAAAATAATAATAATGATATTTATTTTAAAGTTAGTTGATTTTTAAAATAAATAATTATTTTAGTGTGTGCGCTTACACACATTTTAATATCATTAAAAAAATTTAACATATTTTTACATATTTAATTATATTTTAAAGAATATAATATATTTAAAGTATTATTTTTTTATATAGTCTTTTTTTTCTTTTACGATTTCTATTACTTAATCATTTAATAAAATTAAATTTAAAAAAATATATTTTACTTTTATTTCTTAAAATAATATTATTTAAAAAGTAATATATGTTTATTGATAAAAATATATAAAAATTTGTGATCAAAAAATTTTGTCTTAAAAAATTTATTAATAATTTTTTATATGAACGATTTCTTTTATTAATATTTTATTATTAAATAACGTTTTGTTGACAAGACGAAGCAATTGAACGAGAACTAGAAAAGAAAAAATAGTAGATACAGTTTTCGCAGTTAACTGAACCAAAAATGTTATAAGTTTAGTTTTTAAAAACTAAACCATAAAATAGTATACTCAACTTTTAGTAAAAGTGAATAAGTTTTTTTTAGTATAATATAGTATAATTAACTATAGTGTAGTACAGATAAGTTATTTTTGTCCATCCCCAATTTATACAAGATGTATGGTTATGAAGTTAAGATTAAGAGTTTCAAGAGTTACAACACACGTACAATTAGAATATTTGGTCTCGTATAAATCATATCACACTAGCCTTTTACCATCAATTATCTTAAAATGTCACATCTTTTATTATTTTTTTACTAAGAATTTTATATTTTCTTTCTTCTCAATCACGTATGTACATGTTTGCCTAAGAACCCTAATAATGAGTTTGGATAAGACTAGATAAGAGTCGAGGAATGTAGAGTTTTAAAAAGGTTGACTAGTAGAGTATGTTAGTTGATTTTCCCTAATCAATGAGCACCTTGTGCACGCACCAATGATTATTGAATCATTTCATTCGAGATCATGGATACAAAAGTTTTCACCATTAAAAAGTATAGGGGTAGAGACCTGAGTGGGAACTAGCTCACCAAGCTTATACTTCCACATCTTGGATTTCTACCTCGGAATCCACAACCAAGATATTTGTGGCCTCCTTATCTATGGTCGCATCCAACTTGGGCAAAACATTCAAAAACGTCTGACCAAATGAGTTCCTTAATAAGATATTTTAGTTGATTGCATTCATCAGTGATGACCCATGTTTTGGTGGTAACTACACCTTTTATTTGAGTCTATGTAGTAAGAAGAATGTTTTAGTTATGGTATCCAAATCAACATAAAGTTATAGGCTTCTTGGAGGATGACATCTCGACTTGCTTTCAAGGTTATATGTGTGTTATACTTGCATTCTTCCTATTGTTTGAAGGTCCAAGGTTTCAGACCTTTATTGACTTGCTTCATTCTGTTTTCCTCCATAGTAATGTATCAAGATGTTTATGATCTTAAGGTTTCCATGCTATATGAAGGGTCAACGAAGAGCGAGTATAGGAAATGGTATGGCTAAAGTTTTCATAGGAGAGTGTGCACCATGATGAGAAGATGTGGGTCGAGCACCTCTTCAATTATAAGTGTAGAACATTTTAGGATTTCCTTTCTTGATGTGTTTGAGGGAGATCGATGATGCTACTACGAGTTTGTAATCAATAAACTTTATTGTAAACATGGTGTAAATGGTGTTAAATGAGTTGATGGAGTTAGATTAGAGGGCATAGTACAATTTTAAATCTTATCTGTTAAGGGTAGTCACAAAGAGCCAATAGTGGACCTTCATGTCATGGGAGTATATATCGGTATGAGTTAAATTTGTCTTGATGTGTGCTTTTAGATTGATTGTCTTATCTTTTTTCTTTTAAGTTGATCATTATTCTTCTAGGGACGTCTGACTCCTTGATATCCAATGTGAAAGGGTGAAAATCATCGAAGATCAAAGGACCTAATTCGACTAGGTAGTGGTTGAGCTTGGTTTGGAGTGAAGGAGGCTTTGGCCTCCCTAATTGTTTTTCCACATATATAAAATAATATATGAATAAAAGTTATTCTTTTAAAAAATTCAATACATTATATATTTCCCCCTTAAAAAAATTTATATTTATGCTAACACCCACAAAAAAAGTTCTCAATATCCTCTATTGGGAGTAGGGTCATCAGGGTTCATATGCTGTTGGGACAGAATTGCACTCTTGTGTGCTGCTTAGTTTGTGGGTAGATAGCCCTTCCTTTGATATAGTGTTATGCTTGTGAAATTTGGTGGCTTATTTCGACCTTCATCAAATCAAAGTTGGAGAGCACGACTCTACTACTCATTCTCATCCTTTTGGTGATACTTCTTTACGCTGACTTCCCGTCTTGGATTCGTTTGTTCATTCTTGGTGTTTGGATTAGAAAGACTCCCTTTTGTCCTAATGTGAGATGCGCTTTTCCTTTTTGATAATGGGGTCCAATGTGTCCAAGTAGCATGAGGTTCCACCACCCGATTGGAATTTAGGGAATGTCTTCGTGAGAATAACCTTTAATAGGACCACTCTTTTTCAAAATTGTCAAGCTTCTAAGTTAAGGCCCGAAATTCTTTGTGAAGTTGAGCTCGTTGTAGTTGCATGTCTTCATCGTGTTGCACTTAAAGTTGTTGAGTTTGTCAGACGACCATCTTTATGTGGTTCTTGATTTTGTTGGTGTCGAGGTCCATCTCTAAAGCGAAGGATGTGGTTCTTAAGTTTGATGTGCTAGAGAATGCTTTATTCGAATTTCATAGTGGACACTAAATGTTCTTATCATAATTTGTTGAGGAGTCTTTGAGACGAAATTGTCGTTCTTGAGTGTCAAATTTTATTGTTGATTAGAGATGACAAATAAATTCGTTTGTATTCGTATTATCAGAACCCGTCTTAATTTGATAAAGAAGTTTTACATTAAGTGGATACATATACATATTACAATAAAATTATTAAATAGCAACAAATTTTAACAACAAAAAACAATTAATCAGTATAATGACTAATATAGAAATTAATTTATAAACTAAAAATTATTAATATATAAAATAATCAAAATTATAATTGATTTGTGAATTAAATTCTAAATTGATTTCTAATATTAATTACCAATATTTTAATTAATAAAAAATCAGTGAATTAAACCTGTCAGACCTCATTAAAATGCACTCCAAAACCCTTCTTAGTGGAAGCCAAGTGTCAGACGAGAGTTAGAATTTCAGGGAATGGAAAACAGGTGGCTGCAAAGAATTGGACGTTCGATTTTAGTTGATA